TAGAAAAACTCAACAAGAGATTGAAAAAGAGGCAAGACCTCCAACTTTGAGTGTCAAGGTTTTAGACACATGACTACAGATTCCCTGAATAGAAAGGAGTCGTCGCCCAAGGATAACAGGAGGGCAATGAAGGCTAAGTGGAGTGAGAGTGAAAGTGAGTCCACCTCGAGTGAGGACTCTTTTTAAGAAGATAAAAAGAATTTCATGGCCTTCATCAGTTCACACTCCTTCCCCCAAGAGAAACTTCTACGATAGAAGTTGAGAATAAGAAAGAAACTTCAAAGAATGAAGTTAGAGAGAACAATTTCTACCATAGAGGTAGAAGACTTGGATGTTGAGGTCTCTTCAAGTGAGGATGATACTAAGAGGATTGAGAATATTCAAGAAGCTTAAGATTAATTAGTTGAAGAATTCCTCAAAGAAAAAAAGATAGTGCATGCATTGAGCACAAGGCTCAAAACGAGAGAAAAATAAAAGTAAGTACTCCATGTGAACTTAGTTAAGTCCAAAGCTTATAATTGTGGATTTGAAGAAGAGATTAAGTCCTTAAGGGTGTGTTTGGATAGTGGGTTTGGATAGGGTAGGATACTTGTTTTTTATATCCTAACCCATCCAACCTAAACCCACTCATCTACTTTAAATCCAAGGTGAGGAAGTATATCCAATCTAAACCTTTGTTTGAGAAACAAATATGTAATTGTGTGGACCCCATAGATTACACAAAATATTTTATAGTAGTTTACTATTCTACCTATGACTCTATCCAATCTTACCCTATTTTGAATTGGTGGCTTATCCAAACAAAATTCAATATTTTCCACATATACATAATAACATTTGACAAAAAGGATTCTCCCATTACATTTGACATCCCAAAGGACAAAAAGAAAAAAAAGAAAAAAAAGTGGCAGAGGGATGCAAGGTCTTCTAAACAAAGAAGAGGCACCAAAACAACAAAATCCATAAGAAGAATTCTCCAACCAGCAGCCTAGAAGTAAGCAATACACAAAAATCTTTTGCATGACATATGTTGCACTGCCTAGTTCCTACCCATACTTTTCCTGTGATGGCATCGAGTAAACTCCAATGATGGCATGAACAAGGAGCAAAAGACATACATGTAGACGATTAAATAAAAATTGAATAACATCCAAACAGCTAAATAGGCTAAGAGCAAATAGATGTTTTGAGTGTAATCAATTAAGCACAACCAGAAAAAAAAATAAGAGTTAACAGGACAGGCAAATCTGAATTTGGTGTTAATCAAAGTAATTAGGAACACCCACATGATTATTTTTTTTTTGCCTAAAACCAATTTTCTTTTGGGCTGACTCATATTTGTTTTGAACATGCAGAAATGATCAAAAGTTTAAAACTTCATAGATATATAACCACTGTTATGCAATTTTTTTTGTTAGAAGAAATCCCATACTGCCCCACCCCAGCCCTCTTTTTTTTTTCTTTTTTCTTTTTTTTTTAAGAAATGAGAGATTTTTTATTGAATGAATAAAAGAATTACAAGAAGCAAACAAGAATCAAAGATTTCAAAATTACAACCAAGGTTTTAATCCTTCAAGAGAGACCTACTCGTCGGAGAGAGGGAACACATATACCATTGACCTTTGTCGGACAACAGAGAGAGCGAGAGACCTCCCATAAGCTTCTCCTTCGCCTTCATCGTCGTCGTTGCATGTGTATGTGTGCTTATCAGCCAAGGAGCCTTTTTGACGAATGGTTGGACGAAGTGAAAAGGGTAGGAACATTTTTCTATGCAGGGGTAAAAATGTCATTGCATCTCTTATCCTCTTGACAAGGTTTGGAACCCATGGGGGAGGTGGGTTATATTTAACCCATGTAGCTTGGATAAAAAACACCGTAGCACCCAGATCAAGGTTTGACCCGGAATTTATATCCTCACTCAATTTTTGCTTCCCAAACAAGGGTTTTGTGAGACCCATGACTTCATTAGCCTATCCATATGGGTGTTAACCTACTACCCAAACACACCCTAAAGGACAAGTGAGTTTTCTCGAGAGTGAATGTCATGAACTTGTAGAGTCAAAGAAGAGTTTATTATTTAAGCTGATAAAACTTGATAGCATAATTGTCAAATCGAGATTCATATCGTGAATCAGAATTCTAAATTTGAGAATCGGTGAATTGTATTGAATCGTGAATTGTAAGATTCGACACAAAATTTGAATAAAAATAAAAAATAATACTACATATTTAAAATAGACAAAATATTGAATATTGAACATTATTGCATTCTAAAAATAATTAATTGACATAATTACGTCATCTAAATGGAAAGACGCTAGCCTTTTTCTTCTTTTGCTTAACCATTTTCAAATTTAACAACTTAAAAAAAAATTCATTAAAGAATCATGGCTATTCAAGACCAAAATAGTGACACTCAATATAGATTAGGCTACAAAATTAATTGGGAGAAAACATACAGGTCAACATTTTGAAACAAAAAAATAGAACAAACTAGTCATGAAAGAATTGAGAACAAAAATCAACCGATGATGCAAGAGCATTAGTCGTGACCTTTAGTTTTAGACGACACAAGATGAGCTTTAGACGACGTCAGAGAGAGAATAAGCAAAGAGGTTGAGTTTCGACTCGTGAATCATACGATTTTGATAACTATGCTTGATAGAGACATTTATGAATCACAAGAACTCTCTAAGAGACTTTACCTAAGCTTGGAAAAGCTTAACAAAATGTTGTCTATAAGGAAGAGTGTAAGTGACAAAAGGAGTTTAGTCTATACACATGAGCACACCACTTCCACACCTTCCAAGACCGTGTTTATAAAGTGTAGTCCAACCCATCACCCCCACGTGTGAACACAAATCCCCCAAAGACTAATAATTATACAAGGGTAAGCACTTAAAGAAATCGGTTGTCAAAGAACCCTTAACCAAACAATTTGTTCGTTTCCCATGTGAAGAACATGGTCACTATAGCACGCATTGCATGCATAATAGGGATGTCATGTCTAAGAAACTCAATCTCCTATAATAGCACGCATTGCATGCACAATAGGGATGTCATGTCTAAGAAACTCACTCTCCTAGCTAACCAATCCAAAGCCTTAAATGATTAAGTCATGTATCTTACCAAGTTTATGGATAGGTCATGTGAGTCTAAGCCTAGAATTCCTTCACCACCTAAAGGCTCACAAGCTAAGAAGAATAAAGCTCCATCTACTCCCAAGGTGAAAATCAACTTATCTACATCTAGAGAGAAGAGAATAAGTCCACCACATATTCCCCAACCAAACCTGAAAAATTGGTTGGACAAATAAGTTTGGGTGAGTCAAGAGGACTTGGAAAGGGTCACTGCTTCAGTCAAATTGGAAGTCATTAGTGCTACTAAGAAGGTTGAGTCACCTAAGATGTGGGTGAAGTGAGAGTACCGACCTAGGTGCACAATTCATGCATTGCATCAAACACCCTAGGTTCATGCATTATACATATTTTTATTTTTACTATTAATAAAAAACACAAAAACAATTGAAAATTGAAAAATCAAGAATATTTTTGATGTCTAGTTAAACATTCATTTTAGGATTTATAAATGGCTAAAATGATTATTACAAAAATGATTGTAAATCGCAAGACTAAAAATTGCAATTGTTATCGTGCAAGATATACTCATGGATGAACAAAGGTTTGAAATCAAGTCAATCTCAAATCTAGAAAAAAAAATTCAAATTCAAATTATTTTCCTTCAACTTCTTGTATATAAGGTATTTTGAGTCTAAAGCATTTCTAGATGGTTGAACACAAATGTTGTTGAAGTATAAATACTTAAGTTACACCCTTTCCAACAACTTAAACTTTTAGAGTAAATGTTTGTTTAATATAGTATTGGAGCAAGACATACGGTGTTCAAATCTTACTGCCACCCTAATTATTAAAAGATTTTCATGTGCTAAGTCCAAATCTAGTCTGCACGTGAGAGAGCGTGTTGAAGTTTAAATACTTAAATTCCACACTTTCCAACAACTTAAGTCTTTGGAGTAAATATTTGTTTAACAACACCAACATTTTGCGTACAAATAATTCAACAATTAGAAGCCACTATATCTCATAAAAGACATCAATCCACCTCTCTTGGATTTGCATCAGTCTTTATTTTCACCAAATTTTATGACAAAACTAGAAGCAATTAACACTTCATACTGGCAGAAGCTATCTTTAATATGTGATATGCAACCTTTGTAATCTTTTTTGTTTAAAAAATAAAAAAAGAAAAGAGAAACAAAGAATAGTAAGATGCAAACTAAACACCTGAGTCAAAACCTTAACGGCAAGCGTGAAGCAAATCAAGTGGTTTACTAAAATAGAAACAGCTCCCAAACATCAAACAAAAATCCATCATCTATAATATAAAATAGGACAGACTTCAATAAGTCCATCCGACGGTCTCAAATAGACTCATCCGGTTACCCCCACTAATTATATAATCTTGGCATTCAACCACAGTCTTCTCTAAAGTGAGGCAACATTGAGCTACTTTTGGAATTTAATTAAAAAAATTGAGTGCAACATTACTGCGTTAGGCAAGCAAATTTTTTGTCATCTTAGTACTTAGGACACCCAAACATGTGAAAGCCATGAAATGTAACTGCCGTGCCTTTTAATTCCTCAAATCATACAACAAAAGAAGATAAAAAAAACTTAATAGAAATAGAAGCCTTCGTAAGTAGGAACTTCAAAAATATACATTGCACATGGTCACAAATAATTAACAGCTAAGTACTTTTTTTTATGAGAATTTATAAGTAAACTATTGGCAGACTATGATATCGTAACATGACACACTTACATGACAGAAACTGGATAAGACTTTTCTATCAGATGAAACTGTCGATGAAGCTCATATGAGAATAGTAGTAGGCACACTATCAATAGAAGATTAGATGTTCGTTAAAAATTAGTGACTAAATGATCAAATGAATGTCAAAGTGACACATGGCTTACATTTTGAATACTCGTATACATGAGCACATGGATAGCGCTTTGATTTTGAGAAACACCTCCCAGAAACAGTTTCCTTGTCAGCCTGTACGCCATATACTAGAGAAAACATATATAAATACCCAATCCCAACTAATATGTAAGATACTGTCAAGAACCTTTTCAATGAGTGCAACTATGGCATTGCTTTTGAAAATTCACATAAAAAATTGCCTAACAGGAACCATAATATATTTGAACGACTTGTTCGCATTAGGAGAGAATATATTGAGTGCTATTATGTCATGAAATTTTTTTATGCCAAAGACCAACACGTTGTCATACAACATACTGGGCCCTGACATCCATGGTGCTGTTTGGTTTAATTCTTCAGTAGACACCATATCACTCACTTTGTATGTTTCACAGACTATGTTGCACAGTGTGAAATAACAAAAGCAGTGATGAATAAGTTGGAAAAGGAATACTCTAAGGTGAACTCAATCGAATAAGAATGCCATTTTGCCCTCATGAAGCTTATAAACAAGTTTGGACAAAAACAAAATCACCCATTAATTTGTTCATGACATTTACTTTGTTTACACAAATATTTTAGAAAGCCTCACCACTCCGATGTGTAAAGGATGTGACATTAACAATCCGGGCCGGTACAGGGCTATTCTCCATAAGTGGGAGTAAAATTTGGGTAAGACAAAATGCCCCAATGTAATTGGTTCCCATCATCCTGAAAAACAAAGAATGAGCATCAGCATGAAATCTACACCTTTTTTTTCTCGGGTAAGTAAGCATGAAATCTACACATATTTGCAGAGTAAGACTCCTAACACAGCAACACACAAAGACAAAGTCTTTATTTGTGTACATATATCACGAAAACCAGAACCTACATACTAGCATGCATTCCCAGAGGTTATAGAAAACATAACAGAAACAAAGAAAATGATAAGATGAATTGTCCATGGATCAAGTGTGCCTGAGCTTGCAACAGATAGATATAATCTCAATTTAACAACATGTGTGCTTATGCATGAAGTATCAGAAAATTAATACAGTTAATTAGCACCAAGTTTTACAAAGTTTTAAATTTCTCGGAAGGTCAAAGTTTTAAATTTCTACTGTGTGCCTAAGTAATATTTGCAATGTTAAATGACCAGAACACTGAACCGACATAATTGATAGATAGATAGATAGACAGATAGATCTTCTAAGTTGAGTGATTATAGACCAATCTTCTGTTGTAATACACTGTAAAAGTGCATTACAAAAATTCAGGCCAACAGAGAGAAGAGTATTTTGCCTCATCTCATTAGCTATGCTCAAGCTGCTTTCATAAAAGGTAGATGAGAGACAGATAGAGAGGGGGTTAACATATTGAAATAATTACTGATCATAGCCTTCAGCAGTAAGTCTGCATGATGTTGCTAGTATCCCAGCATTATTTATCAGGAGTTGGACTGAAGAATGTAAATTTGAATCCAATAGCCACTGCTGAAGAGAGCCTTTGAATTTTACAATTGACTGAAAGGACAATAGGTCAACCTCAAATGCCTTAAGAAGGGCATCTTTGTTCTGTGCTCTGATGTCATCCATAGCCTGTCATGCAACCAGCAGAGAACATCAAGAAAAGGCATAGTACAGTGAGGCACAAATAAAAATACTGATGACAAGCACTACACCTTCAACAACATATGAGAAGATCTCCCAGCTGCAGGCGCGCAATGAATTATAGTTATACATTTCTGAAGTTTGGCACCCAAAAGAAAAGGTGATAGACATAGAGAGAGAGAGAGAGAGAAACTGACACTAATCACATAATAAATGCCTTTTTGTAGATAGGAAAGGCATAATCTAAAGAGCAACACAACAATCATGCTTTGTATGGATTATGTAAATGAACACAATTGTGCTTTGTAGGATATGAGTTTGACATACTAGATATAAATCATCATGCATCAACATCGCCCACACTGGTTTACATGGTCCAACAATGCCTTTGAATGCCCAAAAGAAAACAAGCACTCTTGGAAGGCTACAAACTTGAAGGGAACAGTAAATACAGCACTTGAGATGTATTTCTGCATCAAACTTAGTGGCTTATGGCGAATGCTCAAATCAGACTCACTAATAGAATGTCAATGGATCCTTAGTAGGCAAACCAGCATACTTCGCCCTGTTCGTTTCTACAATGCATAACTGCAAAATGCCCAATTTTCAATCCTTCTTCAGTAGGGTCCTGATTGCATTGAATCTTCCATCACGTGTATGTTTATGCATGTGCATTTGGTAATGTTTGATGAATGAAACAGATGAGATTAATAGTAAGCAAGCATGCTAAGTAAACCGCAGTTTCAGCTAATTAGATATAAAAGGAAGAGAGAGACTGGCGGAATACCAAGAACCACATAGAATCCTTCTCTTGAAAGAGCATAGGCTGCTGCAGCACCTAAACCAGATGTGGCCTGCAATCAGTTATCCAAACCAACTGACAAATAAGAAAATCATAAAATGGAAAGCAAATATGAGCCATCACAATTTCATTTCGGTGCATAGTTTCGGTCAACTCAAAACATTTTAGAAATATTTTGGAAAGAAAATAGAACCAGAAAAATAAAAATTTATTTTTAAAATATTCTAAAACATTAATCAAAATATACTGAAACACCTCAAAACATAAATACTCAACATTCAATCACTAATTTGTCTCGGTATAAATAGAAATGGAAACAAAACTTTCATCCTCCAATATGGGCAATATTCATGTGCAGTAATGAAAGGCAATTAACCGGAAACGTCACTAAATTGTGAGTGGCAAGAGCAAAGTAATAAAAAAGAGAGAGAAGTAGATGGTAGACTTACTCCAGTGATAATGCAGACTGGTATTCTGGTACCGGTGGTGGTGGGAGTTGCTGTTTTTCGTGGGGGGATTGGTTTTTGGGTGAAAAGGCTTTGGGCAAACAACTGCAAATAGGAGAATATGAGAGATAGGGTCCAAAAGATTGCCATCCTCCAGAATTCGGCGGTGCAAGCAAAATGCAAAGTTTCCACTAATTCCTTTACATCCATCTCATATGCTCAGCTAAGTACCTCAATTGTCTCGTTCTTTCTCCCTGTGAAATGGAAAAAATGGAATGCCAAGATTTATAAATCAGAGGTCACTGACCCATGGTTCCAGCAAGCTAATGATGCTTAAACAACCCAGGATGGCACAGATATGAAGAATTCGACTGATAGTACTTTGAATTCCAATATTCGATTCTAATATGTGAAGCGTGATTTACCGATAGGGTGGAGTGTGCAAGCAGGAGTGCATATAATCTGAGTTCAACCCTTCAACTACCAAACCCAAGTTCAATCCAAACCCAATATTCAATCCGAACTTTTCAAGCCGAATGTTAATAGGTAAATTGTACCAATAGTTCTTGAAATTTACTACTTATATATTTTGAACCTTAAAGTTCTAATTTCGTCAATTTAGGCCTCCGAATTCATACTCTAGACCTGGTCCCTCGCACTAACTGATTTGGACAGAAAAATTTCACGTGCAACGCATGTAACTACAATTAAGGGAAATTGGGTCATTCTTGGCCACTCAAATCCAAACACTATTATTTGTACAGTGAACAACTAAAATCTCAACCCAAACAATTCTTCCTCTGTTTTTTATTCTTCATTTTCCTTTCTCTCCTTCTCCCTCTCCCGCGACACACAACAGACGCTCACAAGTCCCAACAAACCATTCACTCTTTCTATACAAACACTCAGAACCTCTCTATCTCTCTCAATCACATACGAACTCACACACAAAAATACTCCTACTACAATTCTGTTTCTTTAAGCACACACACACCACACTCTGGAAAATACCCATTCAAACAAATTTTGGTGTGAACCATTCACCTAATTCAACCAACCACAGTCAAAAATTCAAAACTCGCAATTCAAATTAATTCAAAATCCAATCATAAAATCAAAACCAACATCGAAATTGAAAACAAAATTGAAAATTGACATCAAAAATTATATCAACAATCAAAATTATATTAAAATCAAAATAAAATCTGACTTATTGGGGGTTGGGGTTGTTTGTTCAGCAGTGGGTTTTGGGTAAACACAAATTGGAGTTGGAGTGTTGGAGACTTCTTGGTGGAGGTGGAAGCTGGAGTCAGGTCATGGTGCCCTCGCCATCAATGACCAAAAACAGAGAATAAGAGGGAGAAATCTATGAAAACCAAAGGAAGGGAGTGGGTGGGGTTGGATAGATGGAGGCCTGATGGTGGTGAGGGGGTTGGGCCGAAAAACAGAGAAGGGGATTGGGCTGGTGCGCATGTTGAGAAGAGAGAGATGGTCGGCAGCCGCAATAGTAGGTGAAGTCAACAATATGTAAATACCGAAAAAATTAAAATTTTATCAGAAAAGGTAAAAAAGTAATGAACCATTATGGTGTGCACTGAAAACCTGAATTTTTTTAGAACTCGGATGACGAAACGGACCTCATCGTTGGATTCGGCTCGCGAAATCTTGTTACCCAGTCAATTTTCATCGAATTCCAAGACAATCAAATTATTTGCTTTTTACGAGGCGATATAAAAATGTACTGAGCCTAAAAAGGGAGGAAATTTAATAGATTCGGAATAAAATTGAGTTAGAAAAGACGAGACGTGTGGCTTAATAAGAACCAAGCCAAGTATTAGGCGGTATAAATAGAAGAGAAAATCATATTTTCTCCCCACTTTACATCTACAATTTCCAAAAAAAAAGAGAAAGAAGAGAGAGAAAATCAAGGGTTCTCCTTCACTTCTCCCTCCGATCTACGATAATCCGACCATCGGATCTCTTCGAGCTAAGAACAAAAGTTGGTCTACACATAAGTACCAAAGATTACGAGTTTCGCCACAATACAAGAGATAGGGTTCCTTTCCTAATTAAATTTATTTCTAAACTAGGGTTGAAATATGAAATGAATAGGGTGTTAGAGATGAAATCTCATGTATAACACATACCTAGGGTGTTAGAGAATGGAAATGGGTATAAGAATGTGTTTAAACTAAATCTTGCATAATTGGGTGTTGATGAAATTGCTTACTTTGGAATTTCATGAGCAATTGTATTGATTGGGACATGTTGTGTGTTTACATAATCTATGTGCCATGTAGGTGCTTGTTAAAATGTCTAAGAATGATTAAGTGTGTTATGTGTATAGAATATGCTATAACATGCTTTAGAAAGATTGTGGGATGTAATTATATGTCTTATGATATGATGAACATGCTATTGTAATTGCAATTATAAAGTTGATTGCATAGAGATATGGAATGCAATTGTTCATCACATTTGCATATGCATGGATAGCATCATATTCGTAGGCATTCGACATGAGTGTGGATCTGTGTGCATAGTTTTGATCAAACACCATTTATGGTAAGTTGATACATGGGCTTGATAAAGTTGGACGTAGGTTCGACTGAGTCGCACTAGTTGAATTGAAAACAAAGATCGAGGTTAGCAAAAAGAGCTAGATTCTCCCTCGAGTGCAAGACCCGATAATTTCAGATACTCACTCCTGTTGGTATTGAGTCTATAAAGTGTGTCGACGTACGCGAAACCGTTGGTGAAAATTCATAGATGTTGTATCGGTTGGGTACCCATTGGTGAAAGTTCATAAATACCCACCCCAAGAAAGACCCGAGATTTTATAAAACGATCATTCAATATGTAACATCAATGTTGAGGCTTGGAATGCCCGGATGTAGACTTATGACATGACATGTTATATGGGAGTCGGTGGAGGACTCAGGTTGCATTGCATGTGTGAGTTTCATCTCATAACATGGCATGACATTGTGGTATTCATTTATAAATTGTATATTCTTGAATGGATGATTGATTGATAAATTATATGTAAACATTTATGGTTGGGGAGTAGTCTCCTTAGGAGATATCCTATTGAACATAACTCACCTTTTATGGGAACATATTTTAGGTGTTAGACAAGCACCAGTGAATGGCCCTCATTTGGATCCTTGTTGATGAAGGAGCCAAAATGTGACTCTTAAATTATATGTTTGTAAATTTTTATAAAGGATATATGTAATGAACTCTTTTGGACAATGATTTTTATATAAATGAATGAATGGATGATTATGGTATAAGTTTGAATGGCCAAGAGTTAAAAATGAAAAGATTGGAGAAAAATCTAGGTTCAGATATCGGTACTTAAGTGATTAAGTACCGGTATCGGTACTTGGATTTCAGTAGGCTTAAATACCGGTACCAAGACTATAGGTACCTGTACACTGATGGACAGTGAACTCAAGTATCGGTACCAATACACATGGGCACTGGTACCTAACAAACAGTGAGCTCAAACACCAATACCAAGACACATAGGTACATGTACCTGAAAAACAGAAAGCCCAGGTAGCGGTACCACGTATCAGAGGTACCGGTACTTCCTCCCAAAGCTTGAAATTCTAAAATGTAACTCTGAGGGGCATTCACTCTTTGAACGACCACCATGGATGATATAAATGGATAATAATAAGTCCGAATTACTGGTGTTTGGACCTTGTAATAGTCATGTGGTTGATATGTGTACAGGTTATGCTTGGGTAATGATCTGGTACAAGAGAGACTCTGCCCAAACTTTATTTACAATCCCGATGATGGGGATGTAATGACATGGTGTCGGGTTATATGGCATACACGTATACTTCCACGGGTTGAGAAAGAGCCCCGGATTTTGGGGTGTCACACAATGACCCAGAGAGAGACAAACAAAGAGATGGAGAGACTTTGGCTCAACAGAAGGAACTATACAGCTAAAGGAAAAATTATTCATTGTTTTATTTATTACTAGTAATTTCCCATGCATGAAGGCATTATGTAACAAATAAAAAATCGCACATACGGAATTGCACAACACAACAAATCGTAAATCAAGAAAACTGAAAAAATAGCCAATAAATATGTCCAAAATTGTGACCGGACAATTTTTATGAACTAAACAATGCCATGCACTAAAAAATAAAAAATAAATAAACAACCATCATAACATTAATAATTGAAGACAGTACACTATTATATCTCAAGAATTCAGCAAGAACACAAAGCCGTGATGTTGTACTTTTTAAAGCAATCAAACCAGATTCACTAAAACCGATACAAAAGGAAAAATGTATCAAAAGACATGGATACCTACACTCACAAATAACAACAGGGATTTGAACACCACAAATAGGCCCATCATGCCCAAAGAACCTGTCTATGTACATAAACCTTTCCAGAAGAATTGAGTACTTCGACAATTTATGCATCCTATAACATGGAGGCAAGACCTGAACCAAGTTCATCAATCAATATCCCTTGCCCCAAAACCCAAACAAAGAAAGAGGAAAAAGAAGCTTAAAGGTGAACCAAACTTACTAAGCGCAACACGCTTGGCATGAATTGCACATAGCATTGCATCTTCAAACAAATGAATCAAATAGTCCTCTGTTGCTTACAAAAAATAACCAGCTATAAAACTTTGAAAACAAAAGTCGAGTAGATGAGTTCTTATTTGGAATTCCAAACAATTCTACCATGAAATCTGAACCTGTTTGAGGAAGCCTGGGCTGCCTATAATTATGGAAACAGTAAAAAGAATTGGTTTTTATCCTTCAAAACTTAAAATGGTATGGAGAAGCATATAATGGTGGAAAAATAGTTTAATTGGACTAATATGTGGTATCAGGTCACGCTAGGGGTGCATTTGAACATTCCTTTATGTATCAATGGGCAATAATGATTGGTAGTCCTGCTTATTAGTCTTTTACAATGCTCATCTGACCATAAACAATACAAAAACCAACATATTCAATCTAAAAAAATCACACTAAATAGAAACTCCCGGCGACCCAAATCGGACTATGAATCACTTGCTTTCAAATCAAACACCATACGACACCACATCAAGCACTGTCAGGATTTTGGTGTGTGGGTGTGGGTTAGTGTGACCAAAAATATATGCTTATATGATCATCATACAACAATCAGAAACTCATATGATCTTCAAAAGGGAAAAAAAATTATAGAGTTACCAAAAGGCAGAAAAAAACTTCTTTAAAGGGAG